ATGAGTTGAGAGTTTGATCATTCGTGGTTATGTGGTTACGAGTAATGGGAGCATAACAAATAGCATAACATTTTGATCAGTTTTCTGTGTTCTTCAAGAAACTAATTTGCAACATTACAATATCCCGTCGCACAAATTTTTATTTAGGTAAGTTTAAATCTTTAATATAGTAGATTATTAAGGTAATTCAACATAATATTATACTGTGTGTATATTCAATGTACATACGATAATAACTGAAATGTAACGAAATAATATTTCATACCCACCTATTAAGTCCCGATAATATATTGTAAATTTAGATAAATAAATAAATAAATAAATACATTTTAGACATAAATATGATAGAGATATCATTAGGTCCGCTCTGACCTATTTGAATACCTTTGTTTACAGACAAATTAACTGCTCTCCTTTCCAATTTCATATCTGAATACCTTCTAGAGTTGTCTTAAATTTCAAAATTTTTATTAAAATCATATTTAGCTTTTGAAAACATATATGTTTATATTAGAGATGTGGCGAACTGTTCAATTTTCGAACCGAACCAAACTCGTGGAGAGTTTTGTTTTACACATTGTTTTTTCGCAAAATATTGAAATTTTACAATTTTAAAATTTTAAAACTATTTGACCTAATCTAAACTTTTTACTCTTAATATTTGAGTTTGATAAAATATTTAAAAGTTTGTTGCAGTTCGATTCGAATAAAAACGTTTAGATTCGATTTGGTTCAACCTTAACAATCAGTGTTCGTAACACCTCTAGTTTACACTTACAATATAAACACATATTTCTTAGACATGACCTTGCTTTTAATTTTATACAGGTATAGTAGTTTTTATAATTACCAGCTCAGCTAAAAATAATGTCATGTGTTCATATGAGAGTTGTGTATGTGTAGGTACTATTCAAAAATGTATTTAATGTCTTTATAAATAAAATATAATATTAAATTTTAAACATAATAGGTAAGTATCAATGTACCATAAGATGTTATTTAAAAAAAACCAGAAAACTTCAATTCAATTAAATAAATTTAATACAAATTTACTTTTTTTTTCTTTAGGTACAACCTACATATTATAATTTATAAACAATATTTAAAAACATTAAAATAAATTAAAATTATACTCAAAATACATTTATTTTGATGTATAAAAAAGAATAATTACAATAAATTTAACTTTAATCAAACAAATTTAACTTTCACTAGTTTTACTGATTCATAAATTCTTTGTTATATACAATCTCAGTGGTTCCTTTTTTTAGAGATAATGTTAATTGAGACGATTTTTGAAAATTAGTTAAATGACAATTACTCAACTTATGTTTAGATAAAGGAAAAAAAATAAATGCTGCCAATTATTAATAAATTGATTATTTTGTTTTTTGTTAAATACTTTACAAAAAGACAATAAACTCTATTGGTAAAAATAAAATATAATAACTAAGGACAAATAATTTTTTCATTATTACTCATATTACAATAATAGTAAGCCTCTAAAAATATGCTGTCCATTTCGTCTAGAAGAAAGTTATAATTTATCACTTGAACAGGATGGTGAATTGATAATATTTCTATATTTGTAAAATTTAAATATTCAGGCTATGTACCAGAATCATCAGATATTAATATGTTTTCTACTAATAAATCATTTGTGGACTCACTATCCCCTATTCAAACTTACAATTTCTACATTTTTTTAGTCTAAAAGTGATTAATTTATCATGTCAATACTAATTGTGTTTTTATTTATTATTTTATTCTCTTGGGATGTGTTTTGATTACATAAATTAAATTTAACTGAGTTTATGGCTGAAATATGGCTTTTGAGTTTAAGAAAAATATTAAAAATTTTACGTAGATTTTTTGTTTGTAAATTGTCTTAGAAAAATCTCCATCAGTCAGATTTTCAATTTTTCCATCTTCAGTCCGTACACATTTTATATTTTTTTTATGAAATTATATTTTTGTAAGTACCTACCTATATATGTATGAGTGTAAATGTGAGGAGTGAATTATCATACACAACATTACTTAGATAATTCCAATTATTTTATGTTATATGGTAAATCAATTTAATGATTGCATTGTAAAAATTGTATAAAATATGTAGGTACATACTATTTAAAAATTTAATATTAATTACAAACCGATACAATAAATATGTGTCATTGAAAACTTTTCTTTTCTTTTCTTTAATACAGCCCTTTTTAGGCCCATTAAATTTATAAATTTCTTACAAAATATAAAACGAATTCCACCATGTCTATGAAAATCGGTCAAAAAGTAGGAAAATCAAAAATCTGATCAATGGAGGTTTGCATAGGACAGTGTACAAACAAATAAACTATGAGACGTTTATCGATATTTTAACATTTTTTTTGCAGAGTCAAAAGCCATATTTCAAACAGTTAAATAATAATAAGATCAATTAAACAAATGAAATATAAATAACTATTTAATATTCAGTATCTAATTTATTATAACAGAAAAAGAACTAGGAGTAACAGACACTAAGTGGTCAAAACATTTTACATTTTCTGTTTTAAACGACTACACATCTCTTTTATTATGTTTAAATCTATTGTTTTAAAAATGTTTAACAAAACCGAATTTTATATATTTAGATATTTAAAATATAAACTAAACAAGAGATTAAAACAAAATACTTAAACATCTTAATCCTAACAAAAATTAATATAGTATGAAATATTTACTGTCATTATTACTGTGAATCACATTTAGACTTCCTTCAATTTTCATTAGGTTTTCTTTTTTTTCCGTTTTATTTTCCTATAGGCGCATCCAGTCTTATAGTTCTTCTACCAGCCATATTAGAATTTGTTATTGTTAGAAATTGTATTATTTAATTTTAATGTGTACAGTACAAAGTAACTGTTGTCTGAAATCCGTACGGAAAGTAAAATAATGTAAAATATAATTACTTCATTTCGTCATCAATAAACTATAAACAATACTCGGTTCGGCAGTTTCTATCAAACTAATAATTGATTACAAAATATTTATATAACACTATGTGCGATAAGAAATCTGGAATTCAATAACAAATAAATTTAGAATTGTATAATAGTAATACGTAGGTATTAGGATACCATATTATATTCATTTATTATGCATTACCGCCCATAGGTTTATAAATAACACTGACTATGGTCTATTATTATAGCGTCCAGTGGCGTGGCGAAATCAAATATTTTTAGGAGCGAGAATTTTATTCCACCTACATATCAACGAACTCATGACATCCATTTGCTATACATTTTCTCCATATATATAGCACTAAATTGTTATCACTTTTTTAAAAATTGTCATATAACTTAGCATAATATATGTAGTTCCCCTAAAAAAATCAGAGGTTGCCACTTTTCGATTAGCCTCTTGCTAACGCCACTTATAACGTTTAATACTATTATATACATTCTACATTGGTTCATAGAAATCAATAACAATTTGTTAAAATAGTAGTTATTCCTTCAAAAAAAAAAAAGAAAAAGTATCTATCTATCATATTATTCGGTTATAACCTTAGTTTATTAACTATTATTATACCAGTGATAATACGAGTATAACAGTATACCGATAGCAACCTATATTAAAAATTCCATAAATAGTTAAAATAAATTTTGGTACAGTGCGCCAGTATTAAAACGTCACACAGCTGATACTCCAGTACTCCAGTACTAACTACTTTTACCGACCCAAACTTAAAAGTGGAATATTTCGTCAACAGATTGATGGAAATTAATAATTTCAACACCAAAATTTATTATAACTAATACTCTATTTAACGTATTTTCAATAAAGGTTGCCATTTGAAAATCAAAAGTATATAATCGTTTTACCCCCCCCCCCTCCCACCAAAAAAAGTTAACAATTGATCATATAACATTTTACAACTAATTGTTTCTTAAGTTTTAAAAAAAATTAATTCTAAAATATTCAATACTTTTCGAAATAATGAGTATTTTACGATAAAAGAATCACCCGGTATACTATGATAAATTTTCTGAGATTTTATTTACAAGAACACCTTACATTTTTAGAATACTTTGTTAGTGCGACCATGGATATTATAGATATTGCCATCAATTTTTATTCACAAAATAATTTCATAGTACAGTAATCATCATCTACAGTTATACAGTTACAGTGCTCAAATTATTAAATTAATCTCAAAAAATGAACTCAGTCTAACAGTAGGTAATATGCTTAGATTTGCTTTTTTCCAAATTAAGCAATATGTTAATGTACATAACATATTCCATGAATATATAAATATATATTATACAAATATATTTCCACAAAAAAACACTGTTACCATGATATCAGTGACACAGTGGCTTTGTCTCGCGTCTCTCATATTACATATCAACAATTACTTATTTATGTTATTCAAAAATCCTTACCTGTAGTCATACCTTTTATGTACCTTCATCAAAAGTAAAACCAATTGTGAAAAACAAATGTATACTAATCATTCTTTGATGATAATGATATATTTTAAACATTATTGATAAATTTAAACTGTTAAATACAACAGCATATTACATTTGGTAATTCTTATATTAGAATTATATAACATTATAAAACTAAGTTGGCTACAGACAAAACTGAGTCTGCTAAAATCTATTCCAGCACACCACCATTTGGGCCAATATTTATTATTTTATACAATTTTAATTGAAATACAAGTTTGGGGTCCTGGATATACATTCATTGCGAAAAAGAAAAGGGAAAATAGTATAGTTTAAAATATAGGTAATAACTTAACATAAATTACAGTTTTTAGTATAACAGTGTAACCACACAGAGGTCACCTTGTTAAAATATTTGATATTAATTTTAAAAAAAAATGCACTCTATATATATAATACATAAAACGTATAAAATAATTTATTAAAAACAATTTTAAATTTAGTGTAAAACCAAAGAATATAGAAACAAAAAGTTTTGTAGCTGCAAACAGAACAACAATGAACAGTGACAAAATTCAAACTCAACTTATGCCAAAAGAATGGGGTAATTATTTTTTAATTAAATTTTTATTTAGATATCAATTTTTATCAAATTTTTTTAATTGTTTTTTTATTGATTTATTAAGTTAAGTGGAAGCCATCTATATTAAAAAATGATGGTAAATTGTATAAAATAGAATATATTGTAGAAGAAAAAGATGAAAAAAAAATTGAAATTGACGAAGTCACAAAAATAGAGGAAACAGATGCATCTTTCAAAATACAATTTTCTGTAAACCAAAAGAACATTTTGAATAGTGGTAATTATTTTATACATAAATGTTAATATAAATATATTAATGGAACATTTATTTAAATAAAGGTGGCAGTATTATCATTAAAAAGGGTACTTTTCCTGTTAATGCCAAGGTAACACAAATAAATGCTTGTAGTGATGGTTCAACGGAAAACCTGGAAAATAAAAGTATTCATCGTGCTAAAAGTACAANGTCCTGGATATACATTCATTGCGAAAAAGAAAAGGGAAAATAGTATAGTTTAAAATATAGGTAATAACTTAACATAAATTACAGTTTTTAGTATAACAGTGTAACCACACAGAGGTCACCTTGTTAAAATATTTGATATTAATTTTAAAAAAAAATGCACTCTATATATATAATACATAAAACGTATAAAATAATTTATTAAAAACAATTTTAAATTTAGTGTAAAACCAAAGAATATAGAAACAAAAAGTTTTGTAGCTGCAAACAGAACAACAATGAACAGTGACAAAATTCAAACTCAACTTATGCCAAAAGAATGGGGTAATTATTTTTTAATTAAATTTTTATTTAGATATCAATTTTTATCAAATTTTTTAATTGTTTTTTTATTGATTTATTAAGTTAAGTGGAAGCCATCTATATTAAAAAATGATGGTAAATTGTATAAAATAGAATATATTGTAGAAGAAAAAGATGAAAAAAAAATTGAAATTGAAGAAGTCACAAAAATAGAGGAAACAGATGCATCCTTCAAAATATATTTTTCTGTAAATCAAAAGAACATTTTGAATAGTGGTAATTATTTTATACATAAATGTTAATATAAATATATTAATGAAACATTTATTTAAATAAAGGTGGCAGTATTATCATTAAAAAGGGTACTTTTCCTGTTAATGCCAAGGTAACACAAATAAATGCTTGTAGTGATGGTTCAACGGAAAACCTGGAAAATAAAAGTATTCATCGTGCTAAAAGTACAAAAAAACTCCATTCTGAACCCAAGTAATAACAAATCCAATTTACACCATTTGTTATAATTGACAATTATTATTATTTGATATAATTGATGTTACCATTTTCATGATTTACATTTAACCATGAGTTTAATAAAAAAAAAAGTAGAATAAAAAATGTTTGAAAGCACTGTTCATCAAATTTTATGATTCATACTTTTGAAGTTAAATATACAATCTACTGTTAATTTTATAAAATCCATACTATCTCTCATAGAAATAAAAAATAATTTGTGTATTAAAATCCATATCAAATGAATTTTAATGGCATAATTATATTTCTACACAAATAGCATTTTTGCTAATTTTAAACCTCTATGATGCAATTTTAATAAATTGCACTAATCTTTTATTTGATTTCTAGTTCTGACTACAAAAGAAAATTAAGAAGTAATTCAACTAAATTCCCTCAGAATGAACAAATAACAAAGGAACCTGAGCCAAAACTACAAATTGTGAATAATCAAAATATTCCAGCTCAAAGATTAGGTCATTTATTTTGTTATTGTATAGAAAATTATAATTATTGTTGTTATTTAACATTTAATGACTTATATTACCCCATATTTCATAAAATCTCTACTTCCAACTTGTAACAATGGCCTTCCCACTGTGCAAATTGTGTCCTGTATTTTACTCTTATTGAAAAGAATATTTATTTATACATTTTAAAACCAAAAATGAACCAAAAATTCAAACTGATCTAATGACAATAAAACAGAACACCTAATATTTATCATTGCATTTCTAAATTTTATAAAATATGATTTTTTAATTAGGTGATGAAATTACAAAAAACATTCCTGGTAATATTTCTGGTGCTCAAGAAGTATCAGTGGAAGATCATAGAGAAGAAACAGCTATTAAAGTGTAAGACATTATTAATTGCTTATGTTTACCTAAAATCAGATAAATATAATTGCATTAGAACCTCAATATTNAAACTACCAAATGCTTTAATATTAAAGGGTAAAAAAATTAAATCAATTTTTACAACTTTAAGTTTTAATAATTCATTAAAAAGATAATTCCTCCTTTTAATATTATCGGTAATAATAATTGTAATTATGTTTAATTTTAAAAAAATACATAAAATATTTTGACCAGATGTTAGAATACATTTTAAATATAGTTTAACCTATTTCATTTTGGTGTGTGTGTATTATGGAATTGTTTTCTTTTTATTTATGGTCTTACAGATCTGCAATATTAGTTTTTGTCAAAATTGTTATACAGCAAGAAAATTGGAATGTGTAAACTTGTACACAGTTCTTAGGTAGCTTTTTCCAACAAACATAATACTATTTTTTTTTTTTACTTTAAAAAAAACATTATTATCATGTATAGATTGCCCATTTTATTTTTAGTCAAATTATTTTATTAATGGTAAATATTGAATTAACATTAAATTCTTATACATTAAATTGTAAAAGTGCACTAAAAATGTTAAAAATTTGTATTTATCCAAAAATGTATGTTAAAAAAAAAAATGTATTACTTTAAAAAATTTGAATTAAAATCCAAGTTTGATGTCCTAAGAATATTTTTAATATTTAAAGGTCATAATAATGAAAACAATACAATTTACAAATAAATAACATAAAAAATATTTCAGGATTTATTACAGTTAAACACATAAAGGTCATTGAGCTTTAATATTTGATATTAACTCACTCTATATATATTATATATAATACAAATAATTTAATATGTATAATTTTAAATTAAGTGCAAAACCATACAGAATAAAAACAAGAAGTTTTGGAATTGAAAACAGAAAAATGATGAGCAGTGACAACATTCAAACTCAACTTATGCCAAAAGAATGGGGTAATTATTTTTTAATTAAATTTTTATTTAGATATCAATTTTTATCAAATTTTTTTAATTGTTTTTTTATTGATTTATTAAGTTAAGTGGAAGCCATCTATATTAAAAAATGATGGTAAATTGTATAAAATAGAATATATTGTAGAAGAAAAAGATGAAAAAAAAATTGAAATTGACGAAGTCACAAAAATAGAGGAAACAGATGCATCTTTCAAAATACAATTTTCTGTAAACCAAAAGAACATTTTGAATNATGATTTTTTAATTAGGTGATGAAATTACAAAAAACATTCTTGGTAATATTTCTGGTGCTCAAGAAGTATCAGTGGAAGATCATAGAGAAGAAACAGCTATTAAAATGTAAGACATTATTAATTGCTTATGTGTACCTAAAATCAGATGAATATAATTGCATTAGAACCTCAATATTTAAACTACCAAATGCTTTAATATTAAAGGGTAAAAAAATTAAATCAATTTTTACAACTTTAAGTTTTAATAATTCATTAAAATAATAGTTCCTTTTAATACTATTGGTAATAACAATTGCAATTGTGTTTAATTTTAATAAGGTACATAAAATATTTTAATCAGATGACATTGGATTAACAATTAACTTATGGGAATATTAAAGGATTACTGAAATAAACATTCTAAAATACATTTTAAATGTAATTTAACCTAATAATTTTAGTCTGTGTGTTTGTGAGTGTGAATGTTTGTGGGAACAAACCTGTGCAGTTTTTTTAAACTTGTAAAGGCATTTGGTGCAAAATGGAAAACAACATTTTTTCTAGTGTGCGTATTTAGCTGTCATTAATTTTTGCCAAAATTGATTTACAAAAAAAATTGAAACAGTTCTTGTACAGCTTTTACAGGCAAAACTTGAATATTATTATTTTTTCTCACTTTAAAACAAAAAATATTATCCTGTACAAATTGAGCATTTTTATCTGATAAAAAAAATTTGATTATTGGTAAATATTGAATTTATATGAAATTCCCATATGTTATATTGTATAAGTGCATTAAAAGTGTTAAAATAATTTGAATTTATCCAAAAATGTATATTTCAAAAAATAACTTATCACTTTATAAAATTTGAATTGAAATCCAATTTTTATTTTCTAGTATACTTTCAATACATAAAGGTTACAATAACAAAACCAATATAATTTACGAATTATTAACATTATACATATTACAGAATTTACTATTACAGTGTCCACACTGAGGTTATCTTGCTTAAATATTTGATATTAATTGAAGAAATATTAACTCCAAATTAGTGATTCTCTATCTGTGGTAGGGGTACAACTAGTGGTACTAGTATAACTTATAGACACTTTTTGATAAGTTTAAACAAATTATAAGTTATAATGCAGTTTATTAATCCATACATTTTACTAAAAATAATAACTATACATGTTTAATTTTACTTTTGTGTTTTAAATGTTTTTATAATTATCTAGATTTAATAATAAAAAACTCCATACTGTAAAATAACCCACAAATTTTATTTTTAGATAAGTAAAAAAAAAGTTAAATAATCGTATAAAGTGATTATGTGAAAAATGTCAAAATGTGTTAATAGTACTTGGTTATGAAAAGTTTGAGAACTGCTGCTCTAAATATATTATGTATAATAATTATAATTTAATACATACATTTTTAAATTTAGTGCAAAACCAAACAGTCTAACAAAAAAAAAAAAAAAAAATAGAACAAAAAATGGGTGAAGGGGTTTGACACTCAGTTTTTTATGTGGTACTCAAATATTTTTCTACAGATTCTTTTAGAACTATCTAGTTTCTATTAGATTTAATATCCTTCAATTAAAACACTGTTTATAATTTGTATAAACTTACTGACTTGACTGTGTTTTATTTTTATTTTGTTTTACAAAATAATGGCTTATTGTTATAAAGTTATCATGGCTGCAATTCTTCTTATTGTAGCTAGACTGTTAGGTGCTTACAATATTTTCTTACTACATGATTTAAATTGTATTAATTGATTCTTTTGATTTGTAGTTCAAACTTATTGAATTCAGGTTTTAGTTCAATCTCAAATAAAGACAAGAAAAAGATTATAAAATTGTTAAATTTATGTGAGCCAACAGATGAAATTTTTAATAATTCAAATATTGTATCTCCAGAATTAGGTAATTTACTCTTAGTTAAAAATTGCAATATTTTTTCATAATTGAAAAATTAATGTTTTAGTTTATTTTATTTTAAATGGTGAATCAACTTCCCTTGAAAAGGAAACTTCAACAGCAAATTTATGTGAGCCAACAAATCAAATTGTTAATAATTTGAATGTTTCATCTCAAGAATTAGGTAATTTATACTTTTTTTTCTTGAAATGTACTGAGAATTTCCACAATACTAATAATAGTTATTTGAGCTTTCTCTTTGTGGCCCAAAAAAGTTTATTCTACATCTATTGATTAATACTTGATATTCACTATGTATGCACACCAGTGTTAAATTATATATCAAACTAATCAAACCCTGATTATACATCAGTATTTATTTATGAATAAATATATTTTATTTATTCAATTCTACCCAATTATATTTTTCTTCATATCTATTTGCACACTTCATGGATTTTATCTTTCATCAGAAATAATTTCATCTGCATACTTCTAGAAGCTTCATTTAAAAATGATTTAGTTTTATAAAGAGCAGCTATTCTTTTCAACTTATTTTCAATAGATTCTGGAAAATACAATACTATATTTTTTTTTAAACTCTTACATTTTTCTTAGAATTATTTTTAACTTTTATTGAGTTAAATATTTTTTATGAATTGTTGTTGTATTAGAATCTAGAATGGCAACAGGTAAAATATATTTTTACATTTCATATTCTTTCAGTCACTACTATCATAATCACCATTACCTATCTATCACATACCCATAATCTTGTATCTTGTTTTTCAATTGATTGTTCCATTTTTTCTACAACAAGGTAGATATATTGACACTTTCTATCCACATAGAATATCAAGATTGAAACTTAAAATCATCTTACATTAATTCATTAGTAGGTAAACATGGTTTATAATTAAGTGTCAGTTACAAGACAATGAAAACCCAGTCTTAAGGTGTGTTAAATTTTATAGTATATGTGGTTTATAACTTATAGTTCGCTTTGTTATTGGGATAACTGGTTTAACAAAACAATCATACATTTATCAGTATAACTTATTAGTATACTATGCAATTTGAATTAATAACTTAATACAAGTAACTAGATTAAACTTGACCTTGGTAATATAAAGAAGTCATATTACACTGATTTAGGAACCGATAGGGAAATGTTTATATTTAGTGGCAATTCAAAAATTCAATTAATTATGTTATCTAGGCAACTAATATTTTAAATGATATATCCACAATCCCTGATTAGGCGAATTTGTAACATCCACATGGGATAACACCACATTCTACAAAAACATATGCACAATAGAAACTAACAATATAACAATACGCGCACAATATATTCTATTTATTTGTTTCTTTATCTGTACACAAATCTACAGTTTTATTCTATTCTTAATGAAACTTTACAAAGTTGACATTTACAAATTGTTTACCTCCAAATTTAAACACACATAGACTGACACTTGATTTTCTTTACTTTAATATAAAAATATGAATTTGTTTTGTTGATTTCTGGGATATTTTGGTAACAATAATAATAATAATAATAATAATAATAATAAAAGGCATTTATATTTATTCGCAAAATGATATTTTTATCCCAACTAACTTTTTAAATTAAACAGTACCAAAGAGTACACAATTTATTTTTAATTAAATAATCCTCATTATCAATACCTATTTAAATTTCATTAATTTTTGTTAAATGACTCGTTTCAGTAAATGAACCGAATTCAATAATAGAACAAATGGACAATGAAGGAATAGAAGAAAAGGAAAAAATCACTGAAGACATTACTACTGAAACAGATGTCATGATAATAGTTGAGAATGATCCCATTGATCCTAATAAACCACGAAAATGGAAGCAAGAGATTACGACGATTTGTAAAATCACTACAATAACTAATATAAAAGAAATACATACCTAAATAAATTGAACAGTTGATTTTATTTGTATAATTGTTTTAACTTGTATTATTATTATTAGTTTATTCGATCTGTTTTTATTAGCAAACAATTGTTGAAAACGTAAAGTTCTATCATAAATTGTTCTTTTAGTAGCCAATATAAAAATATTTTTAAATCTAATAAATTGATTATTTGATTGCATAATGGACGTTTGAATTCACATTTTATATGTCTTAAATTGTTGGAGATTTGATATCTTTTAGAAGAGCTAGTTGGATAGTTGGATCCGCCATACATTCTATACAATATAAGATAACTATAAACCCCAACTATAAAGATTACTATTACTACTATGCAACCTGTAAAAATTGTGCGCTTTAAAAAAGACTCACAGCTGGTAGTTATTAATTCACAAACATTAGATGTATAGCAATTAAGTAAAATTTTTATTAAAATCTAAAAATCTAAAAAATAAAAATAATAAAATAGATTAATTAAAAGTTAATTAAATATTACGAATTCCAAACATAAAAAGGTTTAAGATTTATAGACAATTTTACACATTTAAATTAACTGTTTTATATTAATACCTATTGTTTTCAATTTTTTTTTTATGATAATATTAAATTTAACAAAAAAAAAATATGATTATTACAAGAGATATAGATTTTAAATGAAGTTCAGATGTCCAATTCTTTAAGTACTGAAAGTACTTATTAGTCTTTTTGGAAAAACAATTAATACTGATAATATTATAATATCACAATAGGTATACGGTTTATCTCATATTTGTTGGAAATTGACAGAAAATTTATCATTTATTACAAAATATGTGTGAACAGGTAGTGATAGCGATAACAAACTATCATATTCTTTCAAGGTGATAGTAGCTCTTGGAAGTGCTATCAAAAAATAGTTGTGCAATGTGCATGGCCTAGTAAGTGATAAATGGTATTACAGAATTACTATTTGATAATGTTTTCTTTCTTTTTCTCATACTTTATTAATTGTTATAATGTGCCTGTGATTTATTTGTTGTCAATAATTTAAATATTTTTCCTACTGTTTATAATTTAATAATTTTATTAAATTAGTTATTACATTAATTTCATTCTATGTTTTTCTATTTATTTTCAACATGCCCTGGCATCAGTGTATTGTGTGTACATGCACGTTGGGATTTGATTCCTGCATTAAAAAATTCTCCTTAATCCTTTTTTACAGCTCCTAATGATACAATCAGACTTACACAATAGATAAAAGCTATACTCAGAAAGGACTTTGTAATTAAAGTAGTTTGTGGGATACACTTACAAGAAATTGACTTAATACGTAAAAAAAAAATTATGACCTGTACAAATGGGAAAGTCTTAAAAGTTTGTTATTAAAAATCATATTATATTTTTAATTTAACTTCTATTAGCTTTTAAATGCTGGGGTTTAACTATTTTGATTTATATAGATCTTTAGATATTGGTATTGTATATGTAAGATTCTTCCTTGAACATACACAGCAGGAATCACTAAGCGAATCCCGAAAACTTCAGTACTTAGCTTTACTGATTGAAAGGCCAAGGGAATGTTACTATGATACATAGTAAATTATTGCCGAACAAAAGTGCAAACCGACTATTGGCTTATGAAATAATAATTGATAATGGGACATAAGAAATATGTGCTCCTTGAAGGACTCCTTACTATTATACATTTATAGATGGATCCATGACTAGGACTTTATGTATAACAATTGTGCGGCTAAAATCCTACATCCTGCACATTTTGTCTTTGATAATATCTGCCTATATTTTTTAATACTGTTTATAATTTATCTACAATCACAATTTTGTTATAGTTATTTGAATTTTCAATACATTTTAAAATAATATTTTAATTTTTTGTGAATCAAGTTTTGGAGATTAGAGAATAAGTGTATAGTAAATAGATAAAATTAGTTAGTAAAAATGCATAATTAATTTTATTTATTTTTTTATTAAATAATAATTATAAATTCCAGTAATTAATATAGTGTGAGTAAAATACTGATATTATTTTAGAATTCTAGAATTACTGATTTTTAAATAATATAATGTTCTTGTCTGCCATTTCAATTCAGTGCATTTTAACTATGCAATTTAACCTTAGACATATATATAGTTCAATAATTAATTTCATTAATTGACTTTGATGGTTATCAAAATGATTTTGATGATATATATGTTGTCTCACTTCATATAGATAAACATAAAATTATCCAAGGTTATTTCATTCAATGTTTTTATTATCAAATACATTTTTATGTTTTGTATTTCAAGTATATCATTTGAATAAAATCGTATTATATATTCTGTTACCAAACATATTTTATGTACATCAAATGAAATGATAATCAACTTCCCCCTTGTTTTAAATTTTAACAGCAGACTCATTACTATTGACCGGATTAATATGCACTTAAGTTCCACAAAAAAAGACTTATTGGTAAGTGAACAGTTACCATCATATGTTCAGCTTTTTACTTGATGACGAAACAAAGGACGCAGAGAAATATAAGCAAAATGAAATTAAATGTTATAAGGGATATTATTAAAACCTCCTCTACTTCTAAACACACTAAAAAATACTTTTAAATAGTCTTGACTTAATTTATACATAAAGAAAAGTCATATAATATTTTAGTTGTTCATATAATTCAAATAAATTTGTTAGATAAGACAATGAACCCACAAAATCCAGTTTTTCTTTTGCTTTACATTATTTTTTCCTCTTCTGGAAATTGCTTGTGTTGGTTGAAATCAAAAACTATCAAGATACGTTTTGAATTCATTAAAAATCTTCTTTTAATTTAGGTAGTGTTTCTTTATTTTTGGTAATAATCACCCTTAGCAAATTTTTTTCTGCAGTTTAAAATATAGAATTTAGTTACAGTTACGAAAAAATCATAGGTACCTAATAGGTACTTATACTCTTCACTTATATTTATAATGCAATCGTTAGATTTTCGTATTTTCCATTTCTATGAAATTTCTTGCCAATCCGGACAAACCGCCAGATATTCCAACTTTGTACAGACCGATAGGCAAGACTCTTGCCTTAATTTTTAAAAATCTGCAGTGAAAGACTTATTGTTAATCGATTGTCTTCACATATACTCTCAATCAATATACTTCCTTCTTCTCCCAATTTTGTTTAAGAGCCACACATAGTAGGTATGCAGTACACTAAGTAGGTAGGTACACGCATAGTAGTTGATGTTATCGCAAAGTCAATTGAAAACAAATACTATCGTATAAACAGATGCCTTTTTAGACATATCTCGAGCCTTTCGACATAGTATAGAATGAAGGCATTTTGTTCATACTCCGGACATTTCTACCATCTACACTTTTTCTTTTAATTAAATCATACCTCACAGACCGCCCTTTTCCATTTTGTTTTTTTCAATGTTTTTACGCACATCAAAACGTTAAACATAGATAGATCTATAGATGTATAATTAATAGTAATAATATTATTATTATAATTTATAACCAATTAATAAGGTATTGGATGTATGCAATATTATAAGAAATGAATGTTTTTATAAATATTTAGCCAGTGCCGGTTCTATATATTAATTCGTGATTCTGATTATCACTTTATCAGTTATCTACAAACAATCGTAATAATATTGTCCCGATGGTACGCTAAGTGCGATCCGCGTGTTATCGATGACGGTGGCGTAACAATAGGATGGCATGACGGGCGAAGAGCCACGGTGCCCAAATCCGTGCTGATGATTTGTTTTTACTTCACTTGGCCCCCAATTTGGTTAGTCAACAATATTTTGTCACGGGCATTAGGACTTCTAATTACGCCACTGATCGACTAAAATCAAGATGGTACTAATTATACATAGTTTAACACATTATTATTGGCTTTAGAAAAACACTCAAACATATTTTATCAGCATCGAACATATTATTGCCGAGTCATTGAGCTACAATAAGACAATTGATCCGTTTGCATAAAAAAAAAAAAAAAACACGAACAAATAACGTATAAGTAACATTATATATTATCAGTTGTTACAATAATCTGTTTATTTTTACAAAGCACAATACATAATATGTACCTAGTGTGTATAGGTAGGTATTTAGTATATTTTATGGTATACGCGATTACGTGATTATGCTTTCTACCTTACAGACATTTTATAGTTTATATCAATTACACTGGTGACTACAAACAAATTTCATCAGAGATGATTTAAAATGAAGCTGATAGATTTTTTTATGCCGATTTCAAATCTGTTTTCCATTTTTTTTTTTTTTTAGCACAAACAGTTTTTAAAATTTGTTCTAAGAATACGTATTATACTGTGTAGTGTTTGTTGTATACGGATTTAAATACGTATATTGTATCGAAATACCCGAATGTATTTTAAAATCATCTAATCTAATCTAATCTATATTATTATTTTTATTAATATTTACTTATGATATTACTTCAGTATACAATGTACACCTATGTATTACCTAATATTATAGTCACATAGTTAGAAACACGTGTTGTGTGTTCTAGTAGTGGCCAAACGAAGTGTATCAATTCATTACGAACCGCGTATTTATTTTAATTTTATATCAAGCGTTATTATGCCTCGTCAGTGTAAAAATCATCCAGATTTTTTTTGTTATGTTTGTGGATCGTTTGCAATTAAAACAAATGATCTTCGGAATATTTACAAGTTATACTTTGGTTGTCCCCTTGGTGACCAAGATAAAGCATGGGCACCACATACTATATGTAGTGCTTGTTCTAATGGACTGCGTGATCGGTTGAACAAAAAAAAAAACGTCTATGCCATTTGCTATACCAATGGTGTAGAGGGAACAAAAAAATCATTACAACGATTGCTACTTTTGTAATGTTAACGTAAGTGGTTTTTCGAAAAAAATAAACATAATATTATTTACCCTAACTTAGATTCCGCAATTAGACCAGTGCCTCGTTACCTATTCCAATACGGAAGAAGGTCTTAATTTTAATGTAGAAATGGAATGTGATCAAAATGCATTTGATCATCATGATGAATGTCCAGAAGATGCAAACTATACACCCAATGAAGATAAATCATCTCAAACTTTTAGTCAAGTTGAATTAAATAATTTGATTAAAGCTATAGGCCTATCTAAAGAAAAAGCAGAACTTTTGGCTTCAAGACTTAAACAAAAATATTTGCTAAATTGAAAGAAGGTATATTCATTGGACCTCAAATTAGAGAACTTATAAAAGACAATGATTTTGTGCGTTGTCTTAATACAGCTGAGCAAGAAGCATGGATGACTATTATATGGGCTTTTAAAAACTTCTTGGGGAATCACAAAGCGCTTTCATATAAGAATGGAATTCAAAATCTATTAAATGCATATAATAAATTTGTATGTCATTGAAAATTCATTTTTACATTCATACCTCGATTTTTTTCCAGAAAACTTAGGTGCGGTAAGTGATGAACAAGGCAAACGATTTCATCGGGACATCCAGTTAATGGAAACTCGTTACTGGGGTTTTAAAATGAAAGTATGTTAGCGGACTACTGCTGGATGCTATATCGTGACATACCTGATAAAAAGTATAATAGAAAATCATTTTCCCAACATTTTTAAATATTTAAATATGTCAACTATTTGGTTTTTTTATTTAACTATTTTATTATAAATATTTTTTTGAATTTATTTATAGCATAATAATTTCATGCAATTTTAATTATTGAAAAAAACTATTAAAATAATCATTTAATTTAGTAATTTTATTTTAAAATAGATGCTTTACCTATAAAAAATGAAACAATTATAATTAAAAAAATAATGGTGATAGAAAAAACCTAATTACAGGTTTGAAATCAGTACAAACAATTGGTTTGGAAAATGCATATTCAACCCTGATGATTAAAAAAAGTTTAATTTTGTAGACCAGTGTTATCAGTATGACTTATTTAATATATTTAATTTTACACTTGATATTTTTATTAACCTTCAGGCAGACGCGCTAAACCACCTGGCGACTAGTGTCGAGGTCGATACTCGATGTGCCACATATATTATTACGAAAACGCAGTGGCGGCTCGTGGCTATATGCGACGGGGCGATCGCACCCCCTATAGAAATAACAAAATGGTAGAAATAATATTTTGATTTTATATTTTACGTTAGGAGTATATACTTTGTTATAATATAAAAATATATATAAAAAAAAAAGTTTTCGTAGTATCTATTAAATATATGTATATAATATACTAATATCGTAACATCAGCCCCTGCCATATAAGCTATGATGTGCGATGATTTTCGTTGTACAATATTCGAGTGGCAGCCTATTATATTCTATGGTATATTCAAAGTAGTTATAGGTAGGTATTTATTTACATTTTATGTATTATTCATACGGACAAAGTCCAATTTACAATGTAGTAATAACATAACAATACCTACCTAACAATATATTACTCATTAAACTTCCATATTAATACAAATTTAAATAATAGAATAGTATAAATTAAATATTTGCATAAACATAAAACTGCAAGCAAAAGTTGCAGTTATATAATACTTACAAAATAATATTGGAGTAGGTAAAATAACAAATTGCGTACCTATATTAATACAGTAATTACTTGAATAATTTACTAAGAATTTGTATACAAATTTAAAATTTAGTTACAAAAGTTTGAGAATATCTTGAATAAAATTGAATATAAAGAAGGAACTCCTAAAGATAATTTAGAAAGTAAATCTAGGGTGGTATCAATATTATCAATACCTAATTTATAAATAGAGGTAACATCAAACTTGTCTTGCAGTTTAAAATAATTGTAAAGGTTAACTCATAAAGAAATGAGTTCATCTTTAAGAATTTATTTTATAGGTACTCAACTGATTAATATAGAATATTACTTTTAGATTGGATAACCAAATAAAAAAAGTGTATTTGAGCGCTGATAAAGGCATGTTGTATAAAACTTTGTAAGTACAGTATAACTGTGATATCAACATAATAATAAAATAAGTCGCGATAAGTTCTCAAATTCAAATATTATTGTTAACCTATAAGTATTAGGTACCTACTAATAATAATAACAAGGTATAAATCTAGTTTACAACCCAAACTCTTTTTTCAAAACATGTTTTTGCCTGTATATTAATAATTCAAAAAAAAAGTCAGATTATAAGTTATGAAAGAAAACTTCATGAAGTTCGGGTTTTTCTTAGTGATAATTAAACATCTTCAAAATTGTTTTTCCAAAATGTGCGATTTTTAATGTTTAATCCATTGGTATAATCAAAACTTACCAATCATACTTTTATAATTATTATGCATAAACCTGAAACATAGTCAAACAAATTAATCCAAAATGTGGTTGTTTTTATTATTATTATGATTTGTAGTTATTGATATTTTGATAATAAAGTTTTTTTTTATTGAAGTCCAAATAAATTTATCTGGGTTAAATTTAGAATTACAAACGTTTAAACCCTAGTGACCCTGCCAGGTCTCTAGATGCATCCAAAATGCTATTTTTCAAGGTTTATGTATAACTTTAAAAGTAAGTATGATAGGTTAGGTAAGTTTTGATTACACCAATGGATTAAGCATTAAAAATAAAACAAATTTTTCTAACTTGATTTATTCTAATATCAATAATAAATTAGTCATTATCAACAAAAATCTGTCATTGTGATTCAAATATTACATAGTTTTATGTTATTGTCTGCTACTTAGTGGGTATATATTAAAATTTCCTTTTTACATATTCAAATGGGATCCATCAATCATGTTTCAAGTGCAGAATAGCATATTAACAGAAGATTAACAAGTACTTCTTACTAATATTCTTTATTAAAATTTGATGATGATGATGTTGATGTATTTAAATAGACAGTAGGAATTTTGAATTATTTATACAACTTATAAAAAACATTTTTATCATTAATATAATAATATTCCACAATATTAACCCATAACTAAATTTGTCTGATAAGAAAGAATTATGAAATATAATTAGTGCAATAAAGCTATGGAACTGTTTATTACTTATTGAGTAATCTTACCATTTACAAAATTAAATAACAGATAAAAGCCTAAAAACTAAAATACTGTTACAGAATAGAATCATTTTGTATTTAAATGTATATTTTACTAAGGATTAGTGATTTACAAATAAAATTTGTATTAATATATAATATAGGTATGGAAGAATAAATTATCAAATGATTATAGTAATAATTTTAAAATAATAGGTTATTAAAGAATATTAAATAATTTAGGTATTTTACTTAAGTCTTATTTTTTTTTCACAATTTGAGTAATTTTAAAAAATTCAGGCACTGTCAAAAACTACAATAATGTAAATGTAGATGAGTGCTATATATGGCAAAACCATGTAAATAAAATGAATGCCAGTAAAATAAAATTCTAATAATTCTAAAGAATTAAATTTTATTCAGAAAATTAATATACTTTTGTATATTAATAATATTTAACTGTTTTCTGTGTTACACAAATTTAAATGATATCTCTTCATATCTTCTACTGTGATTTCTGATGGTGCACCAGTCAAGAGATCTTTTCCTTCAAATGTTTTTGGAAATGCAATTACATCACGGATGCTGTTTGTCTTACATAAAATTGAAAGAAATCTATCAATACCTTAAAAATTAAAACATATATTACCATCACTAGACCATTTATAATATCATAACATGAATATTATATATGATATTACATTGTAATGTAACAAAGTTAAAAGTTATTTATTATTATAAATATTTTTGTTTACCTAGAGCTATTCCACCATGTGGTGGACAACCTGACTTCAATGCTTCAACTAAATGAGACATAGATTCTATTGGTATTTTTAGTATGGACTCAATTATTTCTTTTTGCAAACTGGCATCGTGTATACGAATAGAACCACCTCCCACCTCACATCCATTTAGGACTAAATCATAATGATAACCTTTAACCTATACAAGTGATTCAAATTAATAGTGATATAATCATTAATTAAAGATAATAATATATATATATATTAACTTATAATTTAAGAAATAGAAATTCATATATTTTATTACTAAGTTATACAATTTCAAATTTGTATAATATTATATTATAAAGTTAAAAATATGTTATTAATATTCATTAAAACTAATTTAAATACTCATGAAAAATATGTGGTAATAAAATGAACACAAAATTAATAAAAGAGCAGTATAAATAAAATTTGCATCCAGGACTTGAAAAAGTAAATGGAAAATAAGTCTATTTTTCAATAAATAATTTAAAAATATCATTATAAATACAATAGTAATACTAGTTAATAATAATAATAAAAAATACTTAACACAAAAAAAAAATTACAATTAATTTGTTATTGTTAATTCTTCTTCTAATATTAACCAAAAATAAAATTAATACCTGAATACCTAAATTCAGACACTAGTAAGATTAGTATACTCTCATTAAAATTCATTAGGAGTAAGTGGATTATATTAAGTTATAAAACTTGGTTACTAATTAAGTGATTTAAACTTTAAACTGTAGTATATAATATACTAAGTTTAAAAGGACTATTTTAACAAATGTAATAACTTTTTCTCTATTGAATATTTTTAAGTTTTTTTTAAAACTATTATTATTATAATGACTTGAGCTCAGAGTTATAAGTTTTATGTTTTATTACTTTACAACTGAAAATAAAATAAGATAAATATATTTCACACAATGGGTGTGTACTACTGTTGTAGGTGAGAAGTTGGAAAGGTAGGATATGCATAGTGATTTTTTTACCATACACCAGACATTTTCTGGAAGGATTTTAATTGAATTAAAATTCTGTTTTTTTAATTATCATGGGATCTGTTAAGCTTTATTTTACAACTATTTTTAATTTTTTACCCCTATCATGTACTCCATGTCTTAAGGAAGTATATACTTTCATTTTCTAAATAGAAACTTCTCTTTTTAAACACTGATTCAAATAGAAAATATTTTTCCAGAAATGTTACACAGAAATGATACACCTAATACTTATATCAGATTTACCATTTATGAGTTATAACCGCTTAAAGTTTAGACTGGATAATTTAATGTATTTCTGTAATATGTACAATTTTCGTAAAAAAATTAATATTATAATTATTATTAAAAAAAAATTTAAAATTAAACCAATATTTTTATTGGATCATTAAATAAAACTTGTAATGAAACTTGTATTTTCAAGCAATTCTGTTTGGTCTAACCAATTTATCCATAAAGTATTTACTGAATAAATATTGTTTTAAAAATAACTTGCAAGTTTCAAATGTCAAAAAATAGCTCAACAACTACTAAAATATTTTGAAAATTGTACAGAAAAGACAAATGTAAGTTTTCTGTCCAAACTCTAAGTCTATGCATATTTTTAACTGAATCATAACAAAAAATAAAATTGAAAATAATACTGTTTTTAAATTATTCTGATTTTTCCCGATTATTATGAAAACCATTTGGGAAATCAAAAAATTACTATACTAAAGTACAATTCAGATAAAATTTCATTTCAGAATGAAAAAATATTTAAATTGTAAGACAAATATATAACAATAGTTTGAAAAAAAAAATTATTATATTTGTAAATAGTCTTAATTAAATAGTAAATTTTAAATGAAAATAGTATTATATTCTGTAAACAAATTCAATAGTTGTATCTTTAGATTTTGAAGATATTTATTTTTTATAAGTGCTGAAATGTATTAATAAACTAATATACAAAATATTTATCTATAAATTGTGTGAACAATAATGAGGTTAACTATATAATATACTTACATCTAATAAATTGTTGGAGTTGACTTTTGTTTGTGGTAGTGTAAATGGATGATGTACTGATTGAATTTTACCAGATTCCATTTCAAATAAAGGAAAATCCACTACCCAAACAAATCGCCAGGGTTCATTACTATTATTAGCTACTTTAAAATTTTCATTTATTTTACCTAGAACAGTTAGCTGAAATGTCAAAATAAAACATGATCAACATTTAATTTAATATTAATTTATGTCCATTAGCATACTGCTTTATATTTTGAACCACTAGCAATTGCTACTAAATCATGTTCAGAAATATTTTCAGCAGTAACAACAGCTGCAACATCAATTCCTTGAATAGTACTTTGGAGATTTTCTTTGAATGTATCTAATGATTTTATATTAAATAGGCTAAAATTAACTCCTGGATAATTTGTGAAAATTGACTTTTTCAATTCATTTAATTGTTTTATAGTCAACTTGTTTACAGGATTTTTTATAACAAGTGCAAAAACATCAGTTGGTGAATTCCTTATAAATTTTGTCCAGCTAGAAATCTATAAAATAAAAATATATTTTTATTTTATAAAAGTTTATATCTTTAATTATGAATTAAAATTACTTTATACAAAATTTGTTATTAGTAATGAATACAAAATGTAGGTAGGATGTTTATCATTAGTAAAATAAAAAAAAAATTGGTTTTTATCTTATAAAGGAGGAGTGACAAATTAACAGATAATTAAATATAAATTATCACATGTAAGTTATTATAACAAAAATAAATATGTTTAAAACAAATATAATTTAATAAATGTTTTTCTCAATAACATAAATTATTTGTTCCTTATCAAATTTAGAATAATATGGCAAGTATATAAAATATATGAATAAATAGCATATATATGGATTGTATAATAAATTTGACTAGGAATATACAATAAAAATAGTTTAGTTATAAAAAATATGTAGGGTTTGTATTAAGAGTTGGTTTTTAATAATTATTGCAAATATCAGTTTCTTATATCTAAGAATTTTTATGCTTTACAAAAAAAAAAAAATTAAAAACCAAAAAAACTATTAATTTTTTCATGCTTGCAACCCATATTATCCAAAAATGATGAAAAAAATTTGGGAAACGTTTAAATACTTTCAAAAAAAACATACTAAATGAGTGATGAAATCAAACAGAAAAGAGTTTTTTCTGATTCACCCTAATGTTCAATAATAAAATAATCACTATATATATTTCAAATATTAAATAAAAATATATAATATATATGTAATGTAAATAAATATATATAAAAAAATTTGTCTTATTTGTATACAATTTATTAGTTACATTTAGGTTTATATATACCAGCATTTGCAAAAGAAGGAGGATTTTTGTGAATTTTTTAATTCTATTGTTTATATATTTGATTAAATTATTATTGGTTTTAAAAGCTATTTATAAATTATTTGTATTATTGTTCAGAATTTTAGCCAATTTGTTAGACATATTATTTTGATATTTCATACTAATGTAAAAATAGCTTTTAAGACTAATAATAATTTAATCAAACATAAACAACAGAACTAAAAACTTTATGAAAAAATTCTCCGAAATGATTTACTCCTCATGATAAACAGCCTAGTGCATCACAACTAGAAATAGTGGATAGCTCTCTCAATTCACCCCTTCCCATGTCACTTCCCGCTAAAAACACCTCTCCGAGTGAAATTGAACATTTTTTTGCTTTCATCCATGAGAGATTCTGCCATACTCTGAAGGTCGTTCTCAGATTCGGAGAGTAATACTATATCATCGTATGATATTAGTTTGATAGTCTTAGACTCTTGCAGTTTGACTCCTATACCGGTGTTTAATGCATTTCTAACCACCTCCTCCAAAACGATGTTGAAGAGCATTGGTGATAGTGCATCTNGGCCGTTAAATTTGACCATACATTTAGAGTTTTAAACACATGCTCTTATCATTCTTGTGATTTTTGCTGGTACTCCAAGCTTTTCCATGGCTTTCCATAAACTTTCCCGATTAATAGAGTCATATGCCTGTTTATAATCTACAAATAGCATGAATAGTTCCTGGTTATATTCGTAGCATTTTTCCATTACTTGTTTGATAATATGTATCTAATCCACCGTTGATTTTCCCCTTCTGAAGCCTCCCTGGTACTCCCCGACTATTTCATCTCCATATGGCTTGAGTTTATTAAGGAGGACATTTGATAGAACTTTGTACGATGTATCTAGTAGCGAGATGCCTCTATAGTTGTTGCAATTCATAATATCCCCTTTTTTGTAGATAGGACATATGATCGACAGATTCCAGGCTTCAGGTATTTCTTCTTCCCTCCATGCTTTTATAATAATTTTTTCTAATTTTTTCCTCACAGCTATCCCACTCTTTCTTAGTAACTCCGTTGTTATATCATCTTCTTCTCCGGGTGCTTTACTGTTTTTTAGTATTTCAATTGCCATTTTTATTTCTTCCGTTGTTGGTTCATGTATCATTTGTTCCACTGTCGTCATATATTGATCTACAGGTTCTGCTTGTCTTGTTTTAAGTAGTATCGGCTCAAACATTTCTCTGAATTTTTCAGCTATTTCGGTTTTATCTGTAATCAATGTTCCGTCTGGTTCTTTTAGGATGGTCGTTCTTGGTTTGTATCCGTTTTTTTATGCTATTGGTTTTTTTTGTATGAGACTTTGATGTAGTTCTTTTCCCATTGCCTTTTTTCGGTTCTTATTATCTTCTTAGTTTCTCATTGTTTGATTGCTAAGGCTCTTCGGTTAGACTCGTTGGGGGTTTTTATTAGTGCCATTCTGGCAACATCTCGTTCTTCAAGAGCTCTTCTACATCTGTCATTGAACCACTTTTTAGGTATTCTTCTCTCCTCAAAACCTAGTACGTCTTTCGCGGCTTGCTTGATTGTTTTTTCTAGTTTCTCCCACAACTGATCAAGCTCATTGTTGCTGTCGTTTTTTAAGTTTCTATCTATTGTTTCTATGTAATTCTGAAGGTTTTTGTTTTCTTTTAATTTTTCAACGTTGAACTTCTGGGTGACTTTTCTTTTCTCTCCACTTTACTGACAATCTGAGGTGTATTTAGATTCCTACTAGGAAGTGGTCTGATATCCCGCATACACCTCTACAGCTTTTAACATCCATTATGCAGTATTTTCTTCTAGAATCGATCATAACATGATCTATTTGATTTTTAGTTGTTCCACCGGGGGACATCCATGTCTGTTTATGTGGAAAAAACGTACTGCTTATGGTCATTTCCTTGGATGTTGCGAAAGATATTACTCTAACTCCATTGTCGTTCGAATTATTATGGAGGCTTTGTTGTCCTATCGTTGGTTTTTAATTTGTTTCTTTCCCAATTTTTGGATTAAAGTCTCCTAGTATGATTTTTACCATATTTTGAGGTATTGTGTCGTATAGTGCTCGAATTGTTTATAGAAATCGTTTTTTTGTCTCCTCGTCTTTGTCCTCTGTTGAAGCATAACAATTGATCAGTATTATATTAAACCATTTAGCTTGAATTTCCAAGAGGCATAGCCTATCATTAATTGATTCGAATCGCTTTATGTTGTTAAGTATCCTATCGCTAACTACGAAGCCAACTCCCCTTTCATGTCCTGATCCTCCACTGTAGAATAGTGTTGCTTTCTCTGTTTTGTGATTGCCAGATCCAGGCCATCTAGTTTCTTGAATTACTAATATAGTCTGTCAAGTTCAGATACTACTGTTGTCAGTGTTCCGGTCCTGTATAAAGAGCGCACGTTTCATGTTCCAATTTTTAAATCCTGTATGTCCACATTTTTCCGAGGCTTTTGTGTTGGTTGTTTCTTAACAAAGTTTTTTCCGAGGATGGGTTGTTAGCTCATTGCTCAACCCCTATATTGAAGGACCGTATGCACCCAACCAATTAAGGTAAGATGAGGGCTACTGCAGTGCAATTAGTACTGGGCGGTGGGATCGCCAATTTCCCTACGCCATAGCTCAGGGCCCCGGGTGTCAAGTAACACGCAGTGTTCCCCTGAGGGTAATTAAAATATCTTTAAGTACAATAATCTAAGAATAAAGAAATAATGTATTATTAATTGATTTATGATAGTCTACCATGTACTAGTGAAAAATATTAATGATATCATTAAAAATAGATTTATCTACTTAACTATACGTTTTTATTTTTCTATTATTATTGTTAATTATATTTAAATTAAATACATTTCAAAAGAATTGAAAATTTGTTATTTTTAAATGTGGTAAAAACTAATTGTACCTAGTAAAAATGAATTCTTTTATTATTAGTATTCGTATTTATAATGGATTCAATTTCAATAATTATCATCAGGGAATATTAAATCAAAATAAATTGTAAATATTAACACATTTATAATAAAAAATTAAATTTTATATTTAATTCCAAAAAGAGTTTTGGTTCTTTGATTTTTAATATAACTATTACCTAACACTATTATTATATAAAATTTATTGTGGGAATAATCTAAAAAAGTTGTTTTATGAAACATTACTTTAAAACTACATCCAATATCAGGTTTGTCACTGCCATAAGTTAGCATTGCTTCTTCATATGATAATTGAGGAAATGGTGTTTTAATTTTGCCTAATTCAGATGGCCATGTAAATGATAACAGTTCCTCAACAAGTAACATCACTCCACTTTGATCAGTAAATGACATCTCAATGTCAAGCTTTAACAATAAATATAATTATGTGTATTACACAAATTATATGTAGATATTAGTATAATCAACAGTATTATTAATACTTGGGTAAACTCTGGTTGTCGATCTGGTCTAGAACCCTCATCTCTATAACATTTTGCTACTTGAAAATATCTGTCTATGGAACCCACCATTAACATTTGCTTTAACTGTTGAGGACTTTGAATCAATGAATAACATTTCCCTTTTTCCTGAGTTGGTACAATAAATTCTTGTGCACCCTATTAATAGTAAAAATTGTTAACAAATGTACTTGATAAAAATCAGTCATAATTACACTGGGAGTCTTTTTGAATAATGTAGGAGTTTCTACTTCCACAAAATCACGATTATTAATTAAAAATTCTCGCATTTTCATCAATAACTTTGATCTTAAACGTAAATTATATTGCATTTCAGGATATCTCAAATCAACATATCGATATTTTAATCTCAAAGATTCATTTGCCTGAAATAAAAGTTTTAGTTATAATCTAACATGTTGGGTTTCAGTACTTAAAATTAGCAATGCATGTTTACTTTATGAAATTTTCGTATTTGAAATGGTATTTTGGTGTCTACAGAGTTGAGCAGAAGTAATTTATCAACAATAACCTCTATCATTCCAGTTGCTTGATTCTAAAACATAAATTGTACAATTCTATAAAAAATTATGGGCTTTTTTTTTCAAAGTTATCATACATTATTTATTTTATTGGCAGGTCTTAATTTTACTTTACCATAACATGTTATCACAGACTCCAGAGGTATATCTTTGACAATATTAAATAATTCAATTGCCTAAAACATAAATGTAGATAATTATGTAAGTAAATTATGTATAAAGATAGTAATAAAACTTACATTTTCAGGAATTATAAGTTGTGTTGATCCATAACCATCTCTTAAAATAATAAATCGATTCAATCTTTTATATTCTAACCAACCACAGAGAACAACAAATTCTTCAGAGTTTTCAGCTCTAAGTTGACCACAAGTATGAGTTCGAGAGGTATATAGATTAGTATTTGAAAATTCTATAAAATTCAAGTCACCTTAATAAGTATAAATAAATATGTTTGGTATAGAAATATATTACAGATATTACTAATATATTCTTTCAGTTCTTAAAATAGGTATTCTCTTAAATAAGGAAACCTTTATAGGTTTCTAACTAAACCCGTAGGTTTAGTTGATGCCCACCAAGGAAGTATTCTCTCTCCACTTATATATCTCATATTTTAAAACTAAAAATAAATTATAAAATAATAAACATCAGTGTTATCTTAAATGATATTTCCACCAACCCCTTTATGTCCAGTATCACAAGTCTGTTTAAAATATAGTATATACCAATGGTCTTCAACTGGTGGGTTGCAACCCATTTTTGAAGTGTAAGCTTAAAAATTGGTCGTGATGAATTTTCTTTTTAAAATAAAAATTAAGTTTATACAATTATATAAGGTATACAAATAATTGTTTAATTATTAAACTTTGAAAATTAATAAATGAAAATACAATTTGAAAATAATTATAATATATTATGTATAAACAATATTATATAATTTATATTCAAAAATATAATAGTATTTTGGATTTCAAATCACAGTATATGTTTCATATACTGGTATGATTCTACATAGTATGANGACGAATAAATGTTAGTCGCGTTATTATTCTATTCGTATTTACATGTCCGTTAAAAAGTTTTTTTTATTTTTATTTCTTCAGTTATAACAGTACTATTACAAAGTATTAAGGAATTTTAGATTTTTTTTTTTTGTTTTTCTAAAAACGTTTTTCTTTATGTATGCCTTATGTGGATCACGAATAATGTACGCCTAAAAAAATGGGTCGTGAGTCCAAAAAGGTTGAAGACCGTTTGTATATACGATGTAATCACTATATATTATTTAGAAATTTCATTAAAATTATATTATATTAATATTTTGCATATATTCTACAGATTTTTCAATTGAATATTTCTGTGTTGGCAACTGAATAACTGAACTCGGTAGATTATATTAGACATAATTAATTTAATTTTTTATATAGCTATCTGCTATACCTTGTTTCAATAATTTTAATATTAGGATTTCACCAAAAATTATTTTTAAAATATCCAACAAGTAAATTTAATACCTACCAAACGTATTTAACATTTATTTTAAAATACAAAAATTACAAGTAGTAGCGCCAACTAAACCTGAATAGTGGAAAAATATTTCTTGGGTGGGTGTCAACTAAATCAGTACCTTAAATAATATTCTCTTAACTAAATATGAGTACATATTGATATATTTTTCTTTTATATAATAATAATTTTAATTAGAAAATTATGAAAATAAATACAATATGGTTATCAATAATATATGTATTTTGTAAATTAACATTCAATCACTTAAAAAGGGAAGTCTTAGAATTAAATAGTGTATCGAATGTTTTATTGAAAAAAATCTAATACTTTGTGTGTAAATATTCATAATTGGTATTTTTTTTAAATAAAATATTCATATTAATCATCCTTTTGGATAGATACAGACTGTTATCAACAAAATATTCATTAATATTAAGATTCTTTGTATAATATTTATTACTCCTATGACCATAGATACAATCAATAAAAAACATTTTTATACATACCTACTAATCTTTACTGTATTAATAACTAATATACTTCTCACCATGTAATTCCGATGAATTTAATTTATGTTCTTTTAAAATATGTATATTTTCAATAGATTTTTTCACAGTAGATTTATATCGTTTTACAAATATTGTTTTGGTATGGTCCATGGACAACAATATCCTTGAGTAATTTATTATGAATTTCTGAAATATAAATAAAGATAAATTAATTAAATAATTTAATAATGTACAATTTCAATGCTTTCAATTAACTTACACGAAAAACAGTTTTCTGTAACAGGAAGCTTGTTTTACTGCCGATTAAGTGCTGTGTACACAACATATTATTTTTTGAATGCTCGGCACTACTTTTATTTACTTGAGATAATTTATGTTAATTTAAATGTAAATGCAACTATAAACAATAAAAGCAGTGATGCATTAATGACGTTGTTGAACAGAAATATTTATAATAAATAATACTTTACAAATTTAATAGCAAATTTACACATTTTTTATTTTCTAGATAAAATAATTGGTTAGTTTACTAAGCGACTATTGATCAGAATATAGTTTTAGAATTAGTAAATAATGTCAACAAAAGAAGGGCCCAAAATAAAAAATGTACAGTATTTATTTAAAAGTCAGAGGTAGGTTACCTGAAAAATCAGGTAATCGTAGGTACACATACAATCAAGAAATTATGGTTAAGACAGTCACCAATATTTCATTGAAATCATGTATTAAGTGATCATAATATAAAAAGAAAACGTCAACATATTAAAAGTAATAAAATAATATAAACTGTTGTAATATAGAAATAGTATACAACAACAAAAAGTAATTGCTTACTTGTTGCTGCTGATAATAGTGGTGATCATAGAACTAATTAGTGAGTTGTTCTCCGCTAACCGCTGTACTCAAATCGAAATTTTATGATAAATTTTCAATGGAATTTAAAAACATGTATCAATTAGAATTACGGATGTGAAGCTACTAGCAAACTGATAACTCAGATAAGAGATAACATGAACACGTGTACACTAAGTTGCCTATACTAAACGTAATTAAGGAACAATTACACAAGGCAAATTTTATTTTATTTCTTTACAAAGTAGATTCTCTAGATAAATAGGTACTTACTACTTCTTTGGAATGTTTAAGTCTTAAGTCTACAAAATTACTACAAAATAGGTAAAATATATTATGTCTAAATACATGATTTAAAAAAGACCTTATAGAAGCAAAGTTACTATGTGCAAAGTCCGGATTCTGAGTGTAGCGAAGAAGCTTATGGTTTTACAAAGATGTTTAATTTATATTTATTTATTTATTTTATTTTTTTTATCTGTGTGCAACTTTTCTACCAGAAATCTTGCTCCGATTTTTGAGTGTAACATCTTTTCAAAAAAAAACCTGTTTTCCCCCGGTTTTTCGAATTTTTTGAAGACAATTCTGAGAAAATCGATAAATTACTTCTCTTAAATACTTCCCCAGTCAAATTTCCTTTTAAAAACACTGCATTTATTATAAATTAAAGCAAAATTGCTGGTAGAAACGTTGTACACAGAAAAAAAAGACCATTATATTTTTTGAATAATAGCTACATTTCGTATATTTTCCATTGTATCGAAATTTTATCTAGGATTTTTGCAGATATTATGTAAACCGCTTGAAAAATCAAAAAATGCCTTTAAAGTTAAAATTATAATACAATTTCCTTTCAGAAAATAAGCTACATTTGATACATCAGAGCAAGATTTCTGGTAGAAAAGTTTGTACAACAAATCGAGGGGTATTTTGCGGTTAAAATGGTCCAAGCTATCGATGATTTGGGTCTCTAGGTACACCCAAAATGCATTTGTTTTTTTCCTGTTTAGTTAAAAGGGGAAAAAATGGAAAAAAAATTGTTATATCATAATATTAAAACTTCACTATCGTTCTTAAATCGACAACATAGATATATTTAAAAAATAAAAATTAAAAAAATTGACCTCCCTAAATTACTATAGAGATAAAATTTCCTTTCAGAAAATAAAATACACTTGATACATTAGAGCAAGATTTCCGGTAAAAAAGAAGCACAGAATAACCGTGATTTTTAGTACTTATTGACTACTAAGACTCATTTTATTTCAACTAGGTATTAATTTTAAATTGTAAACTAATGAATTACCCATTTAACCAACACTCACCCACCCACCCATCCTTTTAGCGCCTAGGAGCGACCCGTAATATACATCTGGACCAACTCTGCTGACAGATATTATTTTATCGGAATTCAGATGATTAAATTATTAGTGAAATACTGAATTGTAAATAGGTATACAATTTTAATTACGTTTCATTCGCTGTAAACACAAAAGCTCAGGTCGCCGCCCAAAATGTGCAACGCGAATAATTATTTTACGAGTATGGTCCCGCACATTTATTATAATAGGTTTTTTTTGTGTGCGCCATGGACCGTCCCACCGTACACGAGGAAGCGACCAATGATATTACCTATAGCAGCGGTTCTTAACATCTTCATATTCGCATTTACACATTTTGAAAATTTTTCACATACCATTTGCCACGATTATTAGCCTGTATTCAATTTTAGATTTAGAGTGGAACGAGGAAGTATTGGTTTTACAAAGATGTTTTTTTTAAATTTTTTTTTTTATGTGAACACTTTTTCTAACAGACAGCATATTCCGATTATCAAGTATAGCACCTTTTCCGAAAAGAAATGTTCTCTGGGTGGTACTTTAAAGAGTTTATTTTTTGAAATCTTATTAATATTTGAGATAATGAGGGAACTCTTGGTCTTTAGGTTAAATAAAATTGAAATATTAAAAATATGTTATCATAGGCAACCGTTTTTATTTATTTTTTGTTATTATCAAGTTTTTATTATTTTAATCTTTTTTAAACAATCATTCTTGTCACGGAAACGTTATTGTAATCATTTTACCATAATATGACATATACCATAATATATTGTATTGTCGGCAAAGCGACATTATAAACTGAACTCCGCTCAGAATCGTTTTTTCATTAGCCATGGTTTATCGTTGCTTACAGAGATACATTTAATTCCCGTCTTTATCCCACCTTCCCAATTTCCACCAACAACAGTGGTTACACTCACGTGCGAAGTATGTCTACCCTTTTTTAGATTGTTCTTATCGCATTTGAATTGCCAAATTACGATTACATTCTTTAAATATTATAATTCTCCCGTACAATTTTGAATTATTTAAGTTATTTTAAAAGAAATATAAACTACTAACTGTCCCGCGTCTGGCGTTGCCCGTGCCAATTTTTAACTGTTTTAATTTTGATTGTTTTACCTATATTAATTTTTGGTTATGGCCGTGTTAGAATTGATTGAAAACAAATAGATGGAAAATGGGTAATCCACTTTCGGTGAACTAAATGTGTTCTATTGTGAAATTTTTATAGTGTAAATAATATTAATAATAATAATTATAAAATTTTATTTTTCGTAACACCAATATAGCCCTTGAATAATCAAAATTAAATAAATAAGCAAAGAAATATTCGTACCAAATATACCTAAAACCCCTATTTTACCTCTTTAGTGGTTGAATTTTAAAAAATCCTTTCTTAGCGAATTCCTCGTCATAATAACTATCTGAGTGCCGAATTCCAGCCCGATCCGTCCAGTTGTTTGGACTAGGCGATGATGAATTTAGTCTGGATATGTTATTTTATATATAAAGATAGAAAATGATTAATACTTTCTATAACAAGACGTTTAATAATGCAAATTTCATTTTTTTTTTCAAATTTACTTGGGGAGTGTGATCACACCATCGCACCTTAGCACAAGCCACCACGGGGTAGTAACAATTAAATTTTTCACTTAATCTATGCCCCCTGAAAAAAAATCTGATGGAAAAAAAAAGTGAAGAATATTATCAAAAAAATAAAAGTCCGTAGAATACTATACCTATATACCATACCATCCTATACCAATAATAGCTTAACAACAAACCGAAATAAGTACGTACTGATATCTACCTCGAATTAAATATATCTTAGTTCATAATACCTACACTAATACTGAATGGTTCAATTAAAAAACATCCTAAACGCCAAATAAACAAAATCAGCTATTTTGCGTTTAATTATTAGTTTAGAAGTTAGCGCACGATTTACAACAGAAATCCCATCGAGATCAAGTATTCTTTTATATTTTTTGTTGCCTCCATATAGGGGACCTCCATTTAAATGTGTATTTTTTTTTAAAATTGTATTAATTATATTAATAATTTTAATAATTTCATCTCTACTTCGAGGGTACATGAAATAAATTATTAGACATTATAATAATACGTTTGTGAAATTGGTATCACCCCATATTATATTCATACTCTATGGACATGTCATCTTTATAGTGGTAATTGCCGATTAGTAGTGAAAACAATTTAATTTTAAAAATCGTGTACTGTGGATCTGTATATAGGTAGTCATAGGTATTTAAGGTATTTTATACATTTTAATCACTGAGAGACACTGAACCGATATCATGGGCGGGGTCGATTTATTCCCCACCCGTAAGCAATAAGTACCTATCTAATTATACCTACCTGCGTATCGTTATAAATAGTCTCAGCTCTCGTCTTCCCGAACTTACTTCAAGTTTATCCACTGGTGCAGTTAGGTCGTCCGAATACCTGTCGAAGAAAAACTTCACTTAGCAGTATACGTGAAACATGAACGTTACAATGTCACTGTTGCCGCTATTGTTCATCCTGTTGGTCACCATGACTGCCGATCTCTTGGCGTATACCTACGGTAGGTGCTTACGAAAACTTATTGTTAAAATATCGGTAGGTATATTTTAGGTACTTATTTTTCATAAAAAAAATTATTTTTTTGTCCGTATACTCATATAGATCTAATAACTTACTAATAAATAGGGCGGAGATTTTGCCGCAAATACATCTTTTTTTCTGGTGTTTTAAAACGTATGCTCGTAAGCACAAAATGTGTTTTGAGTAATACCGATTATTCAAATTTTTGGAGCATTTTTTTTTTAGAACTTTTTAATTCAGTAAACGTTTGCGATTATAGGTGGGTGTGGGTTTAAGTCTACATAAAATGCATACCTGCGCAAAATATTACTGTAATGGCGCATAACGTTTTGCGTCTTTGGTGTGGATCTGCTTTAATAAGAAGCTTTTAACTGGCCATAGACGATACGAATATCATAGTAAATTATTTATATAGTTCTTCTTTATACTTTAGTTATTTCTGCTCAGATTATCACCGTTGGTAAATGCGCACTTATATATATATATATTTCTTTTCACTACACGATGTATGGATGATTGATATCGATCGAAGACCCGTTAGTATTTCGTCAATATAATCTCGGCAGCATTCGTTGTGTTTTTTTGTTGAGTGTCATTTAGTTTAATATACCAAAAGTATAAATGCAAAAATCAATTATATGAACGAATTATTTTAACGAATTTGATGAGTCATTTCTATCCAACCTATACTATTTTTTTTAAACAAATTCTAAAAATTATTAATTAGTTAGTTATTAAATGAAAATTGTGATAATATTTTTCATCGTTTAAGCTACAAATAAATATAGTAGATTTTGGGTAACCAGGCAAATATCCAACCAGAGAACTGCTGGATGAACGAAAATGCCGGATTAATGGAAGTCCACATAAAACCACATTTTTACTTATTGAAAAACCTTAATTTATTTTATTAAATCATATAAATATTACGTACATACTGAATTATGCTAATATAACACAATAACTAACCGATACACCATACACAATAAATACGCTCAAGACTTAACACGTCAACGTTAGTTGAATACAAATAAATTATCTAATCGGTTAATTTGGACTTAATTAGTTAATTTTATCGTTTACGATAATAACTTTTTGGTTACTTTAACAAAAAAATACCCATATTACTGGATGTACCGGATTATCGCACGGTCATATTACCGAGAATCTACTGTATTATAATTTATACAATTAAAAGGCATTTTCATAGTGGACTTTTTGAGTTTTCTAAGGCATTTTTAAATTTTTTTAAGTGCATTTTTTTCGATTTTCCAGGGCATTACAATCCCAGCCCTATAAATAATATTTTTATATGTTTATTTTCAATATGTACATCTTCTGGTAAATTTTGTTTTTATATTCTATATTTACGTTAAATAAGTTATTTAACTCGTTAAAAGTAAAAATGTCAACTTACTTCTATTAGAAAACAATTCATTTTTACTTTATTGCTAAAAATTGGCTTTTATACCGGTCAAGTGATTATTTTATAATTAAACACTCATTATCTCGGAAAATATTAACTTTTTTTGGAATCTGTTTTACAGAAAATTTAAAAAACAAACAGCTTAATAATTTTAAGTGTATATTATTTTTTGTCACCCTAATATTTAAGGCTGAAACGACCATCTACTTTTGATTTTCAAATAGCAACCTGTATTTAAAATTTCCATAAATAGATGAAGTATTAGTTCAAATAAATTTATTGTTGAAATTTCTAATTTCCGTCAATCCGTTGGCGAGATATTCCATTTTTAAATTTGGATCGAGTGAGAGTAGTGGAGTATCATTTGAGAGGCGGTACGACGCGCAACGTGTTAATAATGCACCACCACTCTCCCCCAACTCAAATTTAAAAATGGAATATCTCGTCAATGGATTGACGGAAAATCAAAAATTTCAACACCAAAATTTATTTTAACTAATACTTCATCTATTTACAAGATTTTTAATATAGGTTGCCATTTGAAAATAAAAAGTAGGTAATCGTTTCATTTCCAAAAATAAAACAAAAAATTGGTAATGTAATATTTTAGAACTATATGTTTCTTAATTTTTTTTTAAAAAAAAAAGTTTAAAATAGTCAATACTTTTGGAAATAATGAGTGTTTATCGATAAAATAACCACCCGGTACCTAGCGACGTGTGTCATGTGGTGTTAAGTCGTATTCTGATCGGCTGTGGTATTTTTGGTAACATTAGTCAGTCTTGACATACCGACAAATTTCCAGAGTTGGACTGATTTCAACTATTCTTTTGTTTGGGTTACAATGGTCAGTGAATTATCTACTGTAGTTTACATAATGTACATCTTTTGACACGACATACACGACATTAATACATGGCGTCGTTAAAATACCTACCGTCCTAATGCGTCTACAATATGTTTACTATGTAAACTGTCACGACTTCCTGAACCTCAATTATTATCTTATTACCAATAATTACTTAATGTAATTTACGTGTATAGGTATATTTATAATTACATTTCACGACGTTATTTGCTTTTTATAAGTTTCGAGAATATTTTAATAGTATTGTCCTTGCACCGACCAATCGGTGATAATCATTAATTATCATTTATCTACCTACGACATACCCACGGGCATTTACCGTTTAGAAAATTACTTTTGTAGTTCTGTCATACCTAATGATAATATTAAAGCATTACGCCTTAAGAAATTATTGTTGATGAAATGGTTAAATTGTCTAACTACGTTTTACATATTTCAACTTCAATTAGTTAAAATCGAAAACTATTTTATGTTTTTAAGACATAAAGTTATAATATATTAAGCTCACAAATGTTAAAAATGGTTTGATTCTCTCTTGCACAATCTATAATAAGTTATGGTATTGTAGTCTTGAGTGGAACTTATTATATAAGTACGTTTGACTAACCTAGAGGTTGATCAGTTTAATAATATCAGTATAATAATACAATGTAAAATAATTGCTGTATTATTTCCTTGCAGAATATTTAAATGAGAATTCAGAGTATTTTTTTACAAACCCAGGATACCCGACACCAATTAGGGCGAAACTGGTGAATATTGAGCTTCAAATAAAGTTAATAAAACCCGCACATCAGCTGCGCATTGATTTTATTGAATTTAATATCGTAAGTGTATAATACTGTAGTTATAACAGTTTTGCGTCATATATTATATTCATAATATAATATAATATATTATTATATATATTTATAATATATTGTACCATTGCGGCGTGGTCTTATTAACGATAGATTTGGTATTTTCAGGCTCCCCCTGATCCATTGTTTAAAACTTGTGATGAAGATGTAATGATTGTAGTCAACAAAAACTACTATCTAGGACTGTGCGGTTCGTTCAACGACAGACACTGTAAGTACTTATATAATATGTACTTTGATTTTACAATCCTTGGTATTAAGACTTTTTATTCTAAATTTGATTAAAGACTCTGAACAGTCAATAGAGCCAGTTAACAATTTGTGTACAAATTTTGATAGCAGGAGTGTACGATGTTCTTTTAATAAAGTAAGATTAGAGAAGTTTAAAACGACGTTGTACGAACTGTGAGGATGCTTGAAAATAATAAATTTAAAAGAAAAATTCTTAAACATTTATTTTGAAATAATTCTATCATTATGTTTTGTTTAAGTGTATTATTTAACTAGATTAATGGACAGTAATTCTAGGTTTGAACGAACTAAAGAACAATAATGTAGTTTTAGTAAAATATTATTTATTAATAATAATTATTATTAATAGCTATGCAACATGCAAACTGTATATTATGAGTATACTAATTTTGTTGGTAAATGTTTTTATCATAAAGTATTTATCGTTTCATGTTATTTATATTTTAAATTTGAATGCAATTTTCAAATTCTCGTTAATGAGCTTCCACAGTAACATTTTCAAAGGATCAATATATAAACAATTTCTAATCTCAGCACCATCGCGTGGTATCTTTAGGTTAGTCGTTAAGGCGTCAGTCGTTTCCACTAAAAGGTTGATTTTCATTTCCGAAATCGAAAAATGTTCGATTTTCGTTTCCGCCAAATCTATATCTATCTATATTATTGAGATGAAATTTAAGAACCCCTAGTCTATGTCTGTACATAAATTAGGAGTTCTAGGGGTTGATTTTGATTATCGATTTATGCCGAAATAATTGATTTTATGCGTAGTAGTTCTTACCTATTATAAATAAATATAAATCGATCTAATCTATATTATGGGTTAACTATGAGTATTGTGATGACGAAATTTCGAGTATGATGATAACGTAGTCAAGTGAATTCATTAGCCCTGAGTAAATCGATAAAGAATCGTGAAAAATATACTTATTTATTGAATATATTGGAATTGAAATTTTGTTTAAAAAATTGACTATTCTTCTACCAACAATTTCGCTCCAACTTATAATGATAGCAACGTTTCTGAAATAAAATTTCATTGGGGAGGTACTTTATAGAAGTCATTTTTCAAGATCAATCGACACTTTATAAGAAATAATTATGGTTAATTAAACTTTTGTATTTATAAAAAAGCAATTTTCAGAAACTTGTATGGACTTTTATTTCGGATTAAAAGACTTAATTAGTAAATTGTATCGTTTGATCCATTAAGCACGTTTTACAAAATCTAGAAATATTTTCAAAGTGTTTATTAGAGTAGGCATCATACTGGACCATTAAAACCATATGTTTTCAACAAAAAAATTGCTTCTGTAGAGTCTTCTTAATTTAATACTATTTCCATACATTTAAGTGAACTCAAACGATCCCCGGATCCATGAAAAATTTAAACTAAAGGGAACGTATGATAGTTTTTTTTTTAAATAAGAAGAAGAGAACTTAATTTCTCTTTACTCCTCTATAATCACAGTGATTTCATCAGAGCCTACATTTCGTATGTACAAATAAAAAGTCAATCAATTTTTTATTTAGAAAATTAAATTGTTTAAAAAAAATGTTAAACTAAGACCTAAAATGTAAATATATGTTTATTCGGTAATTACTATGTTTCACTTGCTGCCATCATCAGGTTACTGGTATTGCATTGACTAAAGGTACACATATATTTTTGAAAAAAAAAAGTTATTATTACTTATACCTATGTGACTATATCTAATGATGTTTCGTTTTCACAGTGTACTTTGACGTGAACGACGAGAACGAGAATGTTGTCGTGTACTTTAGATTGGGGAGAGCTAAAAAGCTCTCCTTCTCGAAATGGATGATAAAAGTGAGTATAAAATGTTAGTATACGTAATTTTATTTTATTTCATTAAGACTTACCGAAGTTGCATACAGTTATTAACCATGTGTATTAATTTATATTCCTGAAGACAAGTCAGATTAAAATCACAAATTAAAAAAATCATTTCATACCACGTATGTGTCTGGCGTGTAGTCGGAAATTACTAAAGAGGGGTGTTATGAAAAATTCAAAATAGTTTTTATTATCACTATTTATTAGTTATATTTAATACTTAAGAAGACGTGTTCCAGCATAGTAAATTAGCGTTCTGCAGAGATAAATTTGTAATATTAGTTTCAATATTAAAATTAATCCTATTATCAAACTTAAAGATAAGAACATTATCTGTACAACATTGGTGCTATTTTGTTGACAAGCGAACATTTTCTATAAATATTATTAAACTGTGATATTTCACATACCTACTCATATCTCGTTTGAAATTAAGTTAATAAAATTATGTTCTTGTCTTTGTTTTTTTTTTTTTTTAGAGAAGTTTGTGTTTAAGGTAGAGAGTTATTTTCTTACTATCGCACATTAAATATATTTATTTATACAAATATAAGTAAAGTCAAAATACAAACGATTTTCAAGTGTAATTATTTTTTTTAAAAATAAAAACTGAACGAAATATATTATTAAAATATTACAATTTTTTTTACCTGTGTACAACTTTTCTATCAGCAGTTTTACTCAAAATTTTGATTATGGAAATGTTTCTAAAAGGAAATTTCACGAGGGATGTATTTAAGAAAGGTCATTTTTCAATTTTCTCAGGAACTTTTCCAATAAATGTGAAAAACTGGGATAAATTATGGAAAAATCAGTACTACATTAAACAAATATTATTAAAGAAAATATATGAAGCCTATTTAATTATTTTACTTTAATATGGCATATATATTGTTGAAAAAGCATCACTACCAACTGAACTCCGGTCAGAATCGTATTTTCGTAAGCAATGGTTTATTGTTCTTATCTTTTTTAAATTAATATATTTAATTCAGAACCTACTTACCTAAGCACTAGATCCCATGTATTATCAGAAAATAATAAACAAGTATCATCTGAATATGTAACAACAGAGCCATCAATTTTAAACCATTACTGTTTGGTCTAACAATTTTATCCACAGAATATCTACCAAATTAAAATTACATAAAAAAACTTACAAAATTAAAATATCTAAATAGCTAAAAAAAAAAATGGCTAAAATGTTTTTTTCCCCGGTTTCCCAATTATTATGAAAATATTATAATCTTAAAGTACTACCCAAATAAAATTTCCTTTCAGAAAAGGTACTATATTTGAAAATCAGAGCAAGATTTCTGGTAGAAAAGCTGTTTACAGACAAAAAAAAAAAAAAAGAAAAAAAAACCTTTATTGTTAAACCAAGACATTCCTCACTTCGCTCAGAATCTAAAATATTAAAACAATCTTTATAAATATGTTGACAGTTTAAAATAAAACATGAATTAACTCATTATATACCGTATATATTTATACTTAATAACAAGAGTGTAAATTAATTATTAATGTCTTAATTAAATATCGCGCTATTTTTATAAATAAAATAATTGCATCATCAGTTATTTTATATTATATATCTAAGCTACACAAAACATTTTTCATAAATGCGTCAAACTTTGATTCACTTAAAATTATACAATTACAATAAACTTTTATTGTTGCATTTTTAATCTAGTTGGTAAGTAACAAAGTCGTTTGTTGATTTTCCGTGTAGTTTTCTTAATAATTAAGGAAAACTTAAAAAAAAAAAGTTAAAAGAACAACAGAAATAAAAGGAAAGTTTACGAAAATAATGATTTTATTATACCGCTTATTTACTGACTTTTAGTGGTTGAAGAAACTTAAAGGGATCATTTAATTTAACACTTGTGTATATGGTGGGTCATATGCTTGCTATAATTAAATAATTTTTTAATCTAAGTGCTTGGCCCAAAATTATAATACGACGATTGGCCCGGAACTTTGCAGGCATCTCGTTGGACCTATGCTTCGCTGCACGTCATTGTTTGTTTTAGTGGTACAGCCGGCGACCCATTTTTTTTTAAATTCATTTTTTTTTTTAGATTACTCAACTAATGGGCTCCGCATTGGTGCCACGGGGCTGTTTACAGTACTACGATGGATTAGTTGGAACCGTGCCTATGATTGACTATTCAATAATTGGAACTGAAGTGACTAATTTGAATCAACGAGTCTGTATAAAGGAATTTGAGGGTTAGTAATCGAAAACTATAATTATTATAAATTCAATAATAAAATAATAAAATAAAAATAAAATTATTAAAATGGTTAATACTCATAAATAAATATATAAATAAAAAATATGTGTATAGAAATTAAAAATAAATAAATAAAGGAATGCGTCACCTGGAATATTATAATAAGTGTATAATAAGATCAGTTTTGAATTTTTAATTCATCATCAGGTGTATCACAGTCAAAATGTAAAACGCGACTGCGTATAAAAATTAAATGAAGGAATATATAAAAAAAAAATTATACAAATAGGTCGTTTTACATAGAAATAATTTATTTTAATATGAGAGAATATTTAAAATGAGTTATTATTAATTAAGAAATATAAATTATTTGGTTATTATTTATTATTTAAAACGTATTAATACAAAATATTATTAAAATCATTTTTCTTTATTTCATTATGTATGTGTAATTATTCTAAAACTGAATTTATATAAAAGTTATTTTAGGTATTTAATATTTCTAAATCTGTAATAATATCAAAGCTTACATTATGGTTATTTTCTAAAACATATTTAGCGAAATGTGAACTAGGGGCAGTCTTTTAGGTTCTGAGTAGAGCGAAGAAGCTTATGGTTTTACAAAGATACAAATTTTCTACAGAGGACTTACTCCGATTTTTACGTGTAGCACCTTTTCTGAAAGGAAATCAGTGTGGAGAGGTACTTTAAACATGATTTATTTTGGAGGTCATTTTTCGATTTTTCAAGAGTTTTCTCATCAAAAGTGAAACACTCTAAAAAAAAAAAACAGGATGATGTACGGAATGTATATGTATATTCTTTCGATTTTTTTTCTATAGACAACTTTTCTACCAGCAATTTAGTCTAACTTATAATGATAGCAATCATTATCAATATCATGCTTACAGGCATATATTAAATTACCTATTACAGTGGCTGAAATTTCTTTTTTAATTTTATTTCAGAAATTTGTTTGATATATATATATACAATTTATAACAGTTAAATTTCATACAATTACAATTACTACACAATTACAGTTCCTTCATATTTAATTTTTTATAGTCAGTTGCATTTTCCATGTTGTCTGTAATATACCTGATACCTGTTGATAAATTTTTTATTCAAAACCTATCCTATAATACACACATCGTACACTTATTATAATACTACATTTATTTATTAATTTATTTTTTATTTCTATGTATACATTTTTATTTACTACATTTATTATCAATACCTAACATTTATTTTCTACGCCATTTTATGAATTTATAATAACAATTGACTCGTTTACACAGGTATATGCAACATATTTTATCAACCGTGTGCCGGCAACTTAAGTCGAGGCCATGGGCACATTTCTGGTAAGTTAATTTCAGTTAATTATACGTATTAACGTATACGTTCATAGTCAAATTGGCCCGGTCCACTAGTCCGTGATCACGGATTATATTTATTGGGGCCCTGGATATTATGAGATAACAAATTCCCATACCGAAAACAAAAACCTATGGAAACTGTGCGCTCAAAATTGAACGAATGTAATTCAGCTCGCAAGCGATTTTTTTGAAAATGTTTGTTTTTACATGCTTAATTTAATGGTAAATTCAAAAACGTCGCCTAAATTTCATTTGGAAGTTATGGCCAGAAAACTTCAAATTGCTTGAGTTTAAAATACCAAAAATTTATATTTTTGGAATTATTTTTAGAAATGGTAGTTTATCATAACTACCATCAAATAAATAATTTCAAAACTCCAGCATTTATTTCCTCTTATTTCTCTATATAATATGTTTTAACCCTAGATACAAAATTATGTTGTTTATCTATATACTCATATAATGTACCTACCTCATCTGGCAACATGAGTGCTAAATTACAATATTGCCCTTCCTTCGACCATGACAATTTAAAAGCTAGATTCAAAAAAATTAATTTGTACTTTTCGGTTATCTCTACTACCTGCATATGATGGACTGCGGCTGTCACAATTCAATTATCTTACCTACCACAAGTAACTATTTTGGTCCCCTGTTACCTACTCGACATGATTTTTCTAACAAAATAATGTTAATTTGCAAATAAAATACGAAATGAGTTCACACTTGGGTAACAATTTTTTTTGGATATAAATAGTATATCATAGGATATCATGTACTTAATGAGGTAGTCGGGACAATTGAAAATATGAAAAATATTTATTCTATATGTAATTATTTTATATTGTTGATAACTATCAACTGAAATCCGTTCAGAATCGTTTTTCCGTTAGCAATGGTTTATCATTGCTTACAGATATATCATATATATTAAATTACCTATTACAGTAGCTGTACCCTATTATCCCCGATATTCTAGAACAGATTTTATTTTTTTAAAAGTCATGTTGTTATGTAAGTAATGTAGTTAAATTATAAGTAATATAGTTTTATATAATTAGTAGGTTTGATAAAAACAGATCATAAAATTAGGGGGAGGTGATCCACTGATAACACGCTTACGGTGTTATGTATAACGTTTCCTTACTTATATAAATTATATAAATTATATAAGTAATTATTATGCTATTATGTTCTTTGGTTTATAGGAAAATTAATCAAGTCACCAATTTTAACAGTCGTGCCGTTCAAACAGAATACGAAACAAGTTGTTCTAAATGATGACTTCCAGTCATTGTGTATTACATACCAACAAGATCCTTGCCAATATAGCAACGCCTTCCGTTTAGACAATTTTAAACCATATGACCTATGAAAATTAACATGTGTTAGTTTTTGCTTTTTAGTTTTCTCTACAAGCTTTTTATAATTTAATAAGTATGCAAATCATGTAATTTAAATATTAAGTATTCGAAATTCATTAACATAAAGTTATATTTATATTTATCTTAAACCAAACAGCGTTATATATTTTATATTTTACCTAGTGTACTATACAACCCCATTTCTTACAGTCAACAGTATGAAAGATTATAGGAATTAATATTGATGGTCAACTTTTAAATGAATTAAATTTTGATGGATGTGATGAATAAATCAGCATACCATTATTATTTAAATCTGTTTATCAGATCATAAAACGGCTCAGGCCATTTGAAAATTTGAAATTTGGACACAAAACTAATATTTATCTTATCTAGGTGTAGTAAAATCTTTAAAATATTTAGCTATTTTAGGCTATTTATAGACATTTTAATTCTGTGAGTTTTGTACGTAAATTTTATTCGGTAGGTATTGTATGGTAAAATTATTAGAATAAATAGAAATGCTTAAAAGTTTAACAGGAGGACCATTGAGTCGTATTTTGTGCCCAAAAATAAAAAAAAATTGAGCTTTTTTTGACGTTGAAGTTTTTTTTTTTATAAAGGAATTTTAATATCAAATTTTGTCGAAATTTGCTTGAGTAAAAATTTATATGGAATAATTCTAGTTATTGGTCCATGAACATTTAAAATTTTTTTTGTGTTTTGAACATGTATATTGTCGATTTAAGAGCGAGGGTACAAAATTCAGTAAACTTAGTTCCAAATTTATAGCATATCATATGTGTTAATGTGAGCTAAAAGATATACTCGAAAAAATTGTAAAATATGTAATACGTATGTAAAAAAATTATTCAGAGTTTAAGTTATTTTCGATTATATAATCAGAACACACAAATAATGATGGTTCATCAAAATAAGATAAAAATTGGTCGTATTTAAATTCTAATTATGCAACGTATGGAAATATCATCTTCAAAATCCAAGGTTTGTAAAAAGTTTTCCGCTTTACAAAAAGGAAAAAAATATTTTCGAAACCGGACAAATCTATGATTAATGTGAGTTTTTCCTTTTAGTATGTTTTTGAGCAGAAAATAGTTCGCTTACAGCCTCTTTAAATGAATTATGAAAATGTGTAGACAAATAGTGGTCGAAGTAAATAATGAAACTATGAAAAAAATACCCATCGAATTCTTTTAATACGTTGTGTGATTTAAAAAAAAAAAAATAAATACAACTTACAATTATCACAATAAATACATATAATACTAATTATAATACCAACAGCACTTATATAACAAATGAAATTAGAACAGTTTCTACCTCAACAAGCGGCGTTCAACGTTGGATCTCGTTATCGACAGGTAGCGACATCTAGGAATAATGGTTATCGACAGCAAAACGTTGTAAAATTCCGCAGAGAAGCACTGTCCGTCGGTTCCGAGTTTTGCTGCTCGCTTGTGTTCACTTTTACATTTGTGTGTAGTATATATACAAGTGACTGGTTTCAATCGGTACCGAGGTCTTGCTTGTTTCAACCGTAACCTCGCTGTAATATAACCAAATGTAAAAATTTAAAAATGACAAATAGGGGCGTTTGGAGGCCCGGGCCAATTGTGCTTATGTTGTGACTCCCCCCCACCCAAAATAATTCTAAAAGGTTACACGGATGTCACTCGCAAACCCCTCCCCCGACCTCGGTTACCAAAATTTTGGCGATTTTATTCCCCACCCTTACATTATATCACTTGGTTCAATTACACTAATTATAATTACATTGTATTTTTTTTAAGGAAATAATACCATATCTTTTTCTTCTTTTCATGTTAGTCTTTGTTTCTATACAGGGGGTCTCAGTAAAACACTCGTTATCTCGGAAAGTATTAACTTTCACATTCTGAGTGGAGCGAAGAAGTTTATGATTTATTTTGGAGGTCATATTTTGATTTTTTCAAGAATTTTTTCATCAAATGTAAAAAACTGAAAAAAAAAACCTGAGGAAAACTGGAAAATGTAAGAAATATACTAGTATAATTTTACTATTTTCTTTTTTCTGTAAACAACTTTTCTACCAGCAATTTTTCTCTAATTTATATTGTAAGCAATTTTTCTAAAAGAAAATTTCACTGGGGAGGTACTTTAGAGAGATCGTTTATCGATTTTATCCAGAGTTTTATCAACAAATGTGAAAAACCCCCAAAAAAACGAGAAAAAATGGGGTAATGTAATAAATGTAGGAATTAGTTAAAAATATTACGGTCTTCATTTTTCCCGCGGACAACTTTTCTTCCGGTAATTTTCCTCCGATTTATAATGATAGCAATTTTCCTAAAAAGGAATTTTACTAAATCATCTGGCTATACGGGGTGATCAATCTATCATAAGACACTCATTTTCTTGGAAAATATTAACTTTTTCCGGAACTTATCTTCTAGAACATTTAAGAAATAAGCTGCTCTATAATTTTATATTTATATTATTTTTTTCACCTTTATTTTTAGGGGTAAAACCATTACCTACTTTTGTTTTTCAAATGGTAACCTATATTAACAATTCTATAAATAGATGAAGTATTAGTTCAAATCAATTTTAGTGTTGTAATTTCCGTCAACCCGTTGGCGAGATATTCCATTTTTAAGTTTGGGTTGGAAGAGAGTAGTGGAGTATCATTTGAGGGGTGATACAGCGCGCAACGTGTTAATAATGCACCACCACTCTCACCCTACCTAAATTTAAAAGTGGAATATCTCGTCAGTGGATTGACGGAAATCAAAAATTTCAACACCAAAATTTATTTTAACTAATGCTTAATTTATTTACGGTATTTTTAATATAGGTTGCTATTTAAAAATCAAAATTAGGTAGTAGTTTTATCTCTAAAAATAAGGTTGATAAAAAATAACATAAATATAAAATTGTAGAGCAGCTTATTTCCAAAATATTCAAGAAAATAAATTTCAAAAAAAGTTAATACCTTCCGAGTAAATAAGTTTTGTTTTAGATGGATTGATATCTGTATATATTTATGGCCCACAAAGAATACTTTGGTAGGTATATCATACGTTTCTATTATTTAGACGGAATGTCTAATCAACTATTATAATTAGGTAGGTATACCACTAGTAGTCGGAATTCGGCTTTGAATTGTCAAATTGAATTTGTCATGCTTAAAAACATGTGTATAACTTGGAATTCATAGTGTCTACCGTCAAACATTTCCTACAAAATAAATATAATATGTACAATAAAGGCATGGGACAATATATTATTATTATAGACTGTATAATATATTGTTAACTATTTGACATCGTGGGTTCTCGCTGCGGATAACGATCGTTCAATTATGTATAGAACAGGTACCCGTATAAATCATTGGTATAGAAAACCTAACACGTTGTCGTATTGTAGATATGAGGGACCCGTTTTATTATACTCACTATATCCATTGATTACAAAAACGTGTATATTCATACACGTTAGTGTTTCGGTAAAGGTCCAAGACCACTGGCCGACCATTGCGGGGGTATTTTCGAAGAAATACACGTATGCGGTATAATAGTAGGTATGGCAATTAGTTAATTAATTTCGAGTTTCTTTATTTGAATTAGACCGGTGGAAACACAATCAAAGTATAATAAAAAAAAAGAGGAAATAGTTTTATTAGAAAAAAAAAATCTTCTACTCGGATAATAACATCGATGTGATTATGAGCCTGGCGAAAAATATGTATTGGTTGTACAATAATGTGAATTTTTTCTGCATGTATATTGTTGACAAAGCAACACTATTAACTGAACTCCATTCAGAATCGTTATTTCGTTAAATACATTAAATTTTCCCTCTTCTACCTCTTTTCTCATTTTATTATTACTTGAAATTTATAATTAATTTTAGTGTTTCTCAAATAATAGTAAAATAATTATATTATTTGTAACATTCATATTAAACTCAAAAAACAAGAATAACCAAACGAAAATTAAAAATATCTTCACGGTATAAATAATGTACACTACACAGATACTTAATAGTGAATACGGCTATAGTTTATTAGTGTCGCGACTAGTGGTCGAGAGTGGACTAGGAAACCGGTCAAACTGCCATGACAGGTTACCGTCCAGCACTAGGAATACGTACCTTAAACAACACAAAAATTATATTTCTTAATTACTATTATAATTATTAATTTATTACAAATAACGGAATATATTATATCTAAAATAAAAAAATACTATATTTCGCACGATTGTTGGGCCAACCTCAACTTCCCGCATAAAACAGTGGTATATCGTACATTCTTCCCCAGTTGTGTCAGCAGTGTCGATCTTTTTTTTTAATGAATATGAAATACAAAAGATAGATAAAATACAAAAGGTGCAGCCACTGTTATAGGTAATTTAAAGTATACCTGTAAGCAACAATAAACCATTGCTTACGAAAAAACGATTCTGAGCAGAGTTCAGTTGATAGTGATATCTTTTCAACAATACGAGGTTTGGCTATTAAATAACGAGACTGCGTGCGCAGAGAGCGTCTCAAAAGGTTAGGGGAAAACCGAATACAGCGCTGGTTAACTGGAAGTGTCTATGCCAGTACAAAATTGGGTTTTTGTTGGTGCATTAGTATTTTTTCTGTAGTGTTTAGAAACAAACATGTTTTTTTCTCTTGCCGAAAACGATGTGTGACGAAAAACATGAGCAACGGATAAACGTAAAATTTTCTCGTTAAACTAAAAAAAACTCCAACTGAGTGCTATAAGTTGTTAAAAGAGGCCTATAGTGAGGATTTCCTATCTCGGGCGCGTGTTTTTGAGTGGCATAAATTATTTTCTGAAGGTCGAGAGTGCACCGGAATCCAATTCAGTCGTAATCCAAATTCAAAACCATACTGATCGTTTTCTTCGATATCAACGGCATCGTGATGACTGAATGGGTTCCAGAGGGTCAAACTGTGAACCAACATTACTATTTGACAGTTTTGGCTACATTGCGCGAATGAGTTCGT